TGATATTTTAGTTTGCTCTGAACATTATATCAGATATCAGATATCAGATAGCGATATAATGTTTTTGTACGCAAGATATCATAATTCGCGTGATCAAAGATCTTTAAAGACTTGATTCAAATTAAATTCAATGTCAATAATTAGACGATTTTAGAAATTGAATATTAATTGAATTTTACCAAATAATTTTTATGTAAAAACAATTAAATTAATTTAATTTATTGATCATGTTCTACGGAATATTCAACAATATGAATTTATATTTATATTACTGAGCTTGACTTTTTAAAAAATTTAACGAGATAAATATTAATGATGATTTCAGAGTTTAAATATTAATATTATTTATTTTAAATCGATATAATTTTTGTTTAATAAAGTTGAATGCTGTAATTTTTTAATTGAAGTTCTACTTTCAATTTTAAGTGTTTTTCTTATCCTTCAATATAAAAACATTTTTTAAATAGCTGAAGCTTTATTTTCAATTTAAAAAATTTTTCTTCTTTGATATAAAAAAATATTAGGAAAGCAGTAAAAGCAATCAGTTAAAATTTCAGATATTCAATCTCATAACTTGTATTTCATTCCTTCTTCTTCTTCATCCTGTACTTCGCAACAACTTTAACAATAGCACACAATTGATGCGATTATTATCTAAAGTTAGTGTAAAAAAAAAAAAGAAAGAAAACGATGACACGTGGATTTTATATATTTTTGTTTTGCATTCGTTACGGCATCCTGTTACAAACACTCTTCACGCTGCAGTATTTCAATACAGAAGTAATAAAAAAGTTATAGTGTATACATATATATATAATATATATATCTCTATCTATATATATATATATATAATATTTATATATAAAATAGGTAAAGTAAAACGTAATATACACGTTATTGCTCGTCTTTCATGGGATTCTTCGCTCGAAATTCGTACCTTTATATGGTGTTCTAGATAAATAAATTGATTTGGATACGATATTTATAACAAAATTTTTTTCTGCGCTCAGAAAATCTCAGAGAATTTCTTATATGTGATTCTCTTATCTCTCCTTCTGTCCATTTTTTATTAATGACTAAATCGTGAGAATTTAACTTACACCATTACAAAATTATAACATTTTAACGCAAGCGTTTTCGATTAGATGAAGCAATTTCAAATTATAACCTACGGTATTAATAATTAAAACAAGAGAGACTCCAATAAAGTCTAAAGCGCACACGTAAAACTGAGGGCGCGAAATATCCATTATAAATAAGCGAGTAACATGAATAAAATAAAAGAACTTTTCACATTATCTTACATTATTAGCTTTGTTTGAGTAAAGAGTAACTTAAGTACTTTTTTTTTCGAAAAATTTAGAATTTATCGTTAATGAATTAATAGAGAAATAAATGTAAATGATAATTATTATCAATAATTTTAGATTTTTAATGTGATATTATATTATATTAATAACATACATTACTATTACATTACTATTATTTAAATAAAAAAGATAATAATATAATAATAATATTGTATAATAATTATTATTTAAACTATCTCTCTTTTTTCATTTAAAAAGATTTAATTCTTTTTAACTCGACAATATATCATGTTGCAAATACTTCGTTTTGTTTTATCCACACTACTATACGTGTCTATTCGTACAGTGAGAGCTAGATTACTTTTACTAAAACAATAACAATTGTCTTCCAACTTGGAAGTTCTCAATATTGCACGTTCTAAGATATATGACGTCGCAACAAACGTCCTGTCCTGCAAGATTCATATGATTTACAAATTCATCAAGAGTTGCGTCGCAACTTCGGATCATTTGCAATATAACGATCGCCGTTTACAGCATTCTAAACATCGTATGTGATTTATATTACATCATACAATTCTTGTGCTATATTTATCCGTGTTTATTATCTCGAGTTTTCATCGCGCTATATTTATGCTGATCCATAAGTTGCAATTTTCATAACAATAAACCATGCACGTCACTTTTCATCTTCGAAAATCGAATTAATCGCTTTCATAAAAGATCCCGATTGATTTGAATATCGCTTATTACATTTACGACCGTCTTCGTAAAAACTCGCTTTCGAGCCGAAGATAAATCGAACTTCATTAGTAGCTTGCCGGAAATTATCGTTATATTTTTCATACACTTAATATATCGTGACAGAACCATTAAACAGTTTCCATCATATGTAATTAAACAAGTCCTTCTATATCTACATCGACAAATAAAATGTTAAATAAGTTACTATATCAAGATATGATTTTGTCATTAACAGTTTGATTTATGCACAACTGCTCGAATCGTCGCGGACTCTAATCGATTATAAATAAAAATTAAACTAATAATATATGAAGATACGATACTATGAACTAGGGGCATATATTTTTTCATGTAAAAACATCAAAATGAAAATCATAATTGAGATCTGTTGAATTGAAACGCGTAAGAATGGATTAATCATGATATAAAAAGATCTTATATCATGAGACTAATCATATCTGTAAATTGGAGACTGCACATTCTCTGCTCTTAGCATCTGTGCTCCATTAGAAAAAATTGAATTATATCAGAATCCAACTCTAACAGCGTACTTCTTCAACTAGATACTTTAGAGAGAAAAAGAGAGAGAGAGAGAGAGAGACAGAGTGTGTGTATGAGAGATTCAACTACCTCCCTCTCATTCTTTTCTAAACCGATAATGATAACTTCATAAGAATGCGTAATCTTATTGTCTATAAGATAAACTAAGCGAAAAATGATATTCATGATTCGATATATGATTAATTAGAGTGAAGTTAAAAGTTAAACTCACATACATTTCTCATAATTAGGTAATTCGTTCTTGTGTACGTACACAAATTAATTTATATAATTTTGTAAGAATTTTCTTAAAACAATATAAGTAGGCTCTTGTAGAATGTAAATCGTGAAATTGCAATAATACATTATTAGCATTATTACGATTTCATGATTTTTCTTAGATATCTTTCATCGCGATTCTTAGACTAATTTAATAGCGATGAAAACATATTGTAATTCGCACAAGTATTTTATGAATAGACAGTGGGCTACTTCATATAAGTACTTGCACTAATTGACAAAATACTCGGATCTGTAATACTCTCAATAATATCGTCAACATACATTTCGGCAAGATGATGTCGTTCGAACGGTTGCCCGATAAAAACTCGGGGGAAAGTTGTCGTCCATTATTTCATAAATGTTGTCCGCTTTATCTCGAACGTGTACTCCTTTTTACCGCGATCACATCGCGCACCTGCGCTATTAGCGAAATGTCACGATACAAATGATGAAATTTATCGTTTCTACATAAAAATCGTGACATGGATGCAGTACTTGTTCATCAGACTGAGAAACATTTATGTCTGACAATAAGAAAATTTATACTCGCAGTATAATAACACGAATATTCATGTGAAAAAATACACATCCGTTCTGGAAAACTTTTATTTTTGATGCATCGAACTTTTTTATAGTAAACGGAGTAAACGAAGAATGCAAATTGTTTGAAAAATTTTATCAGAAATATTGTAAAAAGTTTTAGAATCGTCTGATATTTTTAGACTAGTTCTTTCGACAATTAAAAGATCTTTCTTTAACAATAATTTTCAAACATCCAGTGTAATATTGGAGAATTCCTTATATAAAAATAGATTTTAAATATATTGGATCTAAAACAAAAAAGAAATTCTATAGCATAAACTATTATTTTTACTCAAATATATTTTGGTCCACATATACACTTGATTCTAATGCTTCAATAGGCGCAAAAGAACTGATGCGTATCAACAGCATGCGCAATACGTGGGCGAAACTGATGTCCAAGTCGATAAATCAAGGATTGTAAATTAAAGAAGAACTGCTGCTTTTCACGATCGGTTTCCTCTGCTCATTGCAAGATATGATCGATTTGGAAATGTATGATTTTCCGTGTTTTCCAATGATAAATAATAATTAACATTCTCTAGTTTTTCAGAATTATGAACTTATAAGTAACAACGCCGCGATAATTACAAAATGAATTTACTTCTAAAATACAGAAGTTTATAGAGACATCGAAATGAAATATCGAAGAAGCGTTCGTCCGTTTCCATTTACATTGAGAAGTTAAATAAAAAAAAATGTGGTGTAAGAATTTAATTTAGTGTTGTAACATGATTCATCATAATTTATTTTTGATATAATAATTACATATCGGAAGCGAACAACTCAACTGTCAATAAAAATAATTCGAAACTGCGCTACAAAAGTAAAGTGATCGTTTGATACAAAAGTAAAACGCTCGAAGCGACTATCTAAACGGGACAGGTATTGCATTCGTATGCGATGTCAGTCTCATAATTGGCAGTGAGCATTCTCAGAATACGCTACTGAGGATCATCTATAGTGTATTCGTTGTTCCGGTCATTCGAGTATTTTAGTGCGATTCAAATTAGGCATATTATGATAGTGAAGGTGGCGGATATCAATAACACCCTCACACATACATGTGTATGTGTATACATGTGATTGAGAAGTTCTATTCCGCGGTACAAAACGATTGACGCGAATACTTGAACACGCGTATTGACCGGACTGTCCATTTGCCACGTATCTGGATACTCGCCAGATATATATGCGATTCGAGCATCTAATACTGATGTGATGTTATGCAAATTTTAAGGATGTCAGATATTTCTAATTTTATTTTTTAATAATCAATCAAAAATAATTAATTAAACAAGACTTAGAATGTATGTGTTTAGAAAGGTATCACAAATCAAATATTGTGTAAAAAATACAGAATATATATTATAAAACTATTCAATTATTCCCTAAGTTTTTATTGTACCTTTTAGAAAAAAACGAAATAATTCCAATCGGAATTCATTTCGAGTAATTTCATAATATGTGTTCTGAGTGAAAAAGTATAAAAATTTACAAAATAATAAGATCTAAAATAATAAGAAAAGATAAAATCTCGGCTGTTTTTTGTTTTCTATGACTTACTTATGCAAACGTTTCAAAGTAGTATTAATGTTTAGAAATATATCGAGTAGTTACAATTGACGAGTTTATCACTCAACGAGTTTATCATGAGTTTATATTTTGAGATAAAATCTGTGATCAACAATCTACAATCAGCAATCAACCTGCAAATGTATACTTTTCTAGGATAAGTTCATTATTCTTCTCATCTTTAGAAACTCCGCTCTTGTCCCATTATTAATTTAATTTCATATTGATATTCCCTATTAACCGAAAAGTGCGTGATCATACTAGCAAATTCTGTTCTCCTAGTTTCCCTTGTATAAAAGTTCACAAACATCTGTCCCCGAGAATGAGAGCACAAAGGGAGGCGAAGAATCCCACATAGCGATGGAGTCATAGTCGCTCGTAATCCATTTGAAAACTTGGATCACTCGCTCCGATGTTATCCCGGATGTGGAAATATCACAAGACCGGTGATATCCGCGCGGGCATAAAAATCCGTTTCCGCGATTCGCCTGACAAGTTCGCACGACGAATTTCCGCTTGTTACTAGCGAGAAAGCAGAGGCTTAACTGCTACTTTCGTCGTCGTCGGAGACTCCGCTTGTCGGAAAATTCCTGCGTCATTCCCGATCTTTGCTCAGGTCGGAAGGCAAGTCGCTGCAGCCGGACATCGCCGCTACCGCCGTTGTCGTCGAAGTCGTCGTCGTGGGTGACCTGGATGACATCCTGGAGGTCACCGGTAAGGACAATCCCGCGTTCATCGCGACGTTCAGCGGTATTGTGATGAACGGCTGGTTCGATTGCGATGAGTTCGCCACCGGTGCTACTGTACCTATAAGAAAATCACAAGGCAAAATTAAATGAGACGCACCATTGTGAAGAGAAAAAAAAAATGCTACATTTCCTGCTCGATTCTACCTTCTTTGCGATCCAATCCGCTTTTTCCACTTTCGAACCTATCTACGAACATCATGTTTTTACAAAATCCACTCGTTCTACTCGCGAATCTTCATAAAATCGAAATGATAAAAAAAACTGATGATGCTATTTATATTCTGACAGACTTTTCTTTAGTTACTTTAATTTTATTAGCGGAAAGCCCCCTATTATGAGATAGGCGCCTAATATGAGATAGCGGCGTTTCTGCTAAACTAATAAATGCTATTGATTTCATCATGAATTTATTGCTCTTGGATTGAAAACTATTTAGTAGAAAATTCATTATTAGATCATGCCTGTAGTCATTGTAAAAAAAGATTTTAGAATTTCGACGTCTTCAAATTTTATTGAGATGATTTGATGATCCTTTAAACCTTGTTTGTTATTTAATAAATAAATATTTGATAAATAAATAAATGCTTCATGTAGTGATAGAGTAAGATCATACTAATAGAAAAATACGGGATATGTTGAATTGTTTAACTGTAGAAGTTAGATGATCGTAAAACCATAAGGCGTGAAAATCGTAATATGAGATACCCAGGCTATTTCTAATATGACGTAACCCACACACCTATGTTATAGTGAAAATCGTTGCTAAAGAGTAAATGTTATTGTACAATAATAAAAAGACAATCGGAAATGAATGTCGAGGATCTATTTCTGCGATGCTTGATTCCAACTATCTGAAGATGAGTTTTGGATATAATCTATCGCATGCTCATTTTTCACGCACGCTAGCTGTGTTTGTTTGCATTTTAGAAACATGAAATAAAGTTTTTTAAATACAATACTGATATATTTTGCGTTTTACTATCGATTTCTCGGAACATCTCAAATCAGGAGCATAATTTTTGATTTTGCGATTTGCTCACTTTTTACATTTCTTTAATTTTCAAAAAAAATGGAATTTGAATTAAATTTTATATAATGTTATCTTAAAGCTTATTAAATTCCTTTCAAAATGACTTATTATTTTTTTCAAATTCTGCCCATAGAATTTCAGCATTTATCTAAAATGAACTCGGTATCTCATAATAGTGGCCTTTCCTCTACAGCTTTTATGTACATTAGTAATAAACTCGGAAATTGAAACTTCTATGTGCATAAATAATATAAGGTTTTATCTATTAAATCATCATTGGCTACAATATTGATCCAATAACAGTCAATACATTAACCTGACGTTGAATTATAAATTAGATGATAAAATGGATCCAAGAATGGCAAATAATAATAGTTAATAATCAAATTAGAAATAATACACTAAAAAAAATTTCTGGTTGAAAATGAACGAACAAAATTTCGGTCACCATAATTAGACATCTGACTATCTTATTTAAAAGTCTAATCGATATAATCAGAATTTTCTGATTTGTCCATTTTCAACTAGATTTTCAATCTTTCTCAGTGTAGATGGTGTTTTTATAGATCCAATATTCATTCAAGTCAGATATTTAAAAAATACAGTCTTAAGATGTGACAAACAATCGAAGAATCGTATTAACATATTAAAACATTACTTTAGACGGTTTTAAAATAAGAACTAACTATGAATACTAGCCTTATATTATCTTTGCGCGGAAAAGTCAAATGTACATTTTTCTAAATATTTAATTATTTATTATATTATATTGCAAAATCGAAAGTACACAAAAAAGATAAAATTAATCTTTCACAAATAAGTCGAATGCTTAACAGTATTCCACGATTCGTCATTTACCGTTGTATTCATCTCTCATGCATTTCCTCCTCTTTATTATTCCTACATCGTTCCGAAGATAAACGTCGTACGAAACGCGTTATACATTAATCTTCACACAATCGGCAGCAACGAGCGACTTATGTTACATAAATTTATTAGTCATAATCTCGCATCCGATACGCAATTGTCATCCAATGTTATCGCCGATGATTCAGACGAGGCGGAAAATGCGAGCGAGCGATTTCCAAAGGTTCTTAGCCTCAACAACAATTCGTAAAATTGATTCCTCGTGAATCAAATCCTCTGCCCGAGTGCTCTCGTCTCGCGTAAGGGCATTTCGTAATACGTTAAATGCGTACCGTGCGACATATATTGCGTAAAACAAACTCGCCGTGACTCGCGTTTCTCCGCAACGCGGCGGAGGAAAGAAACCTACCTCCGTCTTGAGATATTTGCACCGGTTGCCCGTTTTGTCCTATGCCGAGCAAGACCCCTGGACTGGGCGAATAAATGACACTCTGAGGCACCTGGTACATAATCCCTGCAGAGAACGAAGGCACATTTCCTAGGAAATCAAAGAGGAATTGAGCGTGTGAGTGGTTGTAAGCCGCCGAGTAATATTTCTCGCGAGGAAACGCACCGAGGTACGCAATTGCAAGCGTACACTTGTGACGTTAAAGTCCCGCACGCGGTTTGAACATATTTTAAATATTTTATGTACTCTGCATGCCTCCCCTCCCCCTCGGTATTCTTGAGTTACAAGATAACTCCGTTTTTCTGAACGCGAAGAATCAACATCGACACGTATCCGAGAATGGCGAGATATCGAATGACGTAAAATATAGAGAGAGGCTTCGTGTATATCCCTTATTTGTATCGAAATTGTGAAATGCACCGTTCGACGTTAAAGTTAAACTTGTTTTCTCTCCCTCGATACAGATGTATATCGTTGAGAAAAACTTAGGAACCGAGTCGAGGCTTCAAACCGGACCACCCAAATACAAATCTGCGCTCTGATTCACCTATGAATTATTACATTTCATATGCGTGCCTCTTGTATAGCCATGTACGATAAATTTTCAAGATATATAAATTGAGAGCAAAAGAAACCAAAAAGGAATAATTAAAAAAAAATTAAAGAAGAATTACGCACGAACTAGGTTATCATTTACCAGGAATAACATTGGCATTCTTTTCAACTTGATGTGCTCGAATATTCGTGAAACATGATCGAAAGTTGTTAATAATGATATTTATATCGCAAATTGAAAATAACGTTTTTCAACATTTTTTAATTTGCACATAAATAACGAGCCAAATTTGTTAAAATATATATACGTCATTAAGTGCACATATATGCTTCAGTGCTTAATATAATTTTTTATCAGACACCATCAATACGACATTCAGAAATAAAAAATAAAGTTCTAAAGCCTTTATTTTATCATTTTAATGGATTTTATTAAGACAATAATATTGTTTTGATTAAAATAAAAGTAAATATAATATAATTTAGTAATTTAGTAATTTTCACAATTTTTAAAATATCTTTACTTCGCGCTTCTCTCGTTTTTTTATGATATACACTTCTAATTTTTTTTCCTTCTTTTTATTTTCTCTAAAATTTTCATGGTATATCAATATATCGCTGCATATCGGTTGAAAAACTTTGATCTAAAGTAATAACTATTTCGAATCTATAAATAGCATCTAATTATATTACTTCATGTTTGATATTCAATAGTTTATCAATCAAGACACAAATAAAACTTGACGCAATACTTGAAAATAAGTAATACTATTGTAAGAATACTTGTTTAGCATAACCCTCTGAATTTTTCTGTCTTACTTAATCACGAATCTCTATTAATGTTTTTACAAAACTATTATATTAATACTCAATGCGAAAAGCGTTTGTTAGTCTTCCTTACTGAGAACAATCTTATATAGATATATATTTACACGATAAAAAAAACTCTTGCATGTTTTTTTTGTACACATCTCAACCGAACAAACATGTCTAATTAAAGGCGGACTTGCGCGATACACATCCATTCATTTATCCGATAACGATGAAACTCTCGCACGCGCCTTTATTATACAAAGATAAATTATGCATTCGCCTTCTCATATAGGGACATAATAAGTCATCGGATCGGCTATCGTCAAATTCGCGTGGCGACGGAGAAAACGACGGGAGCGACGGCCGCGGTCGACCAAGTCGCAAGGAGGGAAAAACAAAAAAAAAAGCGTAATCGCGGCGATCGGTTAAGGACGTTCTCCGACTGCAGTTAGGCTCAACCTAATGAGTATATTAGTGCTCACCATTATGAAAATTTTTATGAAAATTTATTTCACTTTTATATACTATAAGATATTCCATAAGTGTTAATGTGTTTATACAATTTCTTTTACAATATAAAATGCCTTCCGTCTCTTCGCTACTGCCGCTGGTCGAAAAAATAGTGACTTTGCTTACTGTGTTACTTACTTTGCTTAATGATTTCTTAAAAACGAATAGCCATATTAAGACAAATTTCATATTATTAATTCCTTGTGATATCAAATTTTATACCTCATTGTTTCAAAAAATTGTTAAAAAACTTTTTTACAATAAGTAAAAAAAGACGACTTTCGAATAAGCTTTAAATAGGGATCCTATGTATATATATCAGGGTAAGTTAATGTTTTTTTTAACTGAATAAAATTAAAGTTAATGGCTTTACAAAATTAATAAAATTAAGTTAAAAATTGAAGGCATAAAAAATTAACTTAACGTAAATTAAGTCAATATAGAATTAATTTAAGTTAAAAAAAATTAATTTTGAAAAAAATTATTTTTTAGATCATAATGTCCTAATTTTTCTTAAAATGGAATAACTACATTACTTAATACAATTATTAAGTAAATTAAATTTTTAATTTTTTTATTCATATGTGATATAACACATAACGATATAACTACATAAGTTATATAACTTTAAAAAAACAGCCAATAACAGAGAAGATATAAGATTAGTAATTACTTTTTAATAAGTCTTAAGAAATTGATCAATTATAATGCGAATGCGAGAAGAATATTTGACTGTAATTGGTCAATTTCTTATGACTTAAGACTTAAAACACAATATATTGTAGATCCAGATTAAGGCATAAGGCATAACCGCATAAACCAATCAGAGAGAGCTGTATTAGCATCTTAGGAAATTACTTAAGATGGTCTTAAAATATGAACAGATTATGAATATACGCTCTTAGTCTTATTATATGTTATTATTTTTCTATTTAAAAGAGATAAAAAACATTTTAACTTAAAAAAAAAGTTAATAAGTTAACGTTTAAAATTAACTAAGTTAAGTTAAAAGTTATTAACTTTTTAATCTTTTTTTTTAACTACGCAACCCTGATATATATGTATATACATATACTATATGTATACATATTATATATATGTATATATGTATATTATATATATATATATATTTTTTAAATGCTTCAACTTTGAAGTAGAATATTTCGATTTTTAATCCCGTTCCGGATATTGAGTTTTAAAGCACATATGTTCAAGACTTTAAAACAAGCTTATTCTGTAAGTTTCCGAAAAATCTAAAGAAAATGGATTTTTTCGGAAAACGTCCTTAAGTAGCGCAGTAGAATGGCATCCACGCGACGCATTAGCATCGATATTTATGTGTACACCTGCATCCGCGCGAGCGCGCGCGCGCTCTTAGCGGTGCGACGCGGACGAAGCGGCTTTCGACCGGATCCTACTTCCCAGTTAGGCAGCACGGTTGCCGTCTAAGTTTGGTCATCGCTGTGCCGCGCGCGACTGCTTGCGTACTCCCTACACGGATAACCCCGTCATCGCTCGCACGCCTTTCGCATTTTAAACGTCCTCTCTCCCTCCCCCGTCCCGTTCCTCCTCCTCCTCCTCCTCCTCCACCACCACCACCACCACCATCACCTCCCTCCCACCTTTTCTCACGCTTCGTTCCCTCTTTCTCCGTCTCCTCTTCTCCTCCTCCTCCTCTCTGTCCACACCGATGCGTGCACTGTACGCGAATGTTCACCCCGCCCGCTCGCACTTACTTTACGATGCTTACCTCCATCCGACCAGCTGTTCGTTATCAATGTGTGATGAGGTCAAGCGCGACGCGAATGGTATCGACGACAATTAGACTACTACGCGATTAGCATACAGACGGCGCGGAGGAGGACGGCTGTTGCCTCGACACGTTGATTTCGCAATTCGACAATCTCGGATCGTTTTTAACTTGATAATTCGAAACAAAAACGATTTCTACTTTTAGCAAAGAGGAAAGATCAGTAATAATCTATCATTCTATAAAAAGGGTTTACCCTCCGGTAAGATACGTAGCTGTTTACATACATCTAGTAATTTCCAATAATTTGTAAAACACACGTTTGCATGAGAATTCTAAAAAAATCTATTGCGTGGGAGGCCTATCTTTCCATGTGGAACAGCGAAAGGTATCATGAATAATCGCGGCCGTGAATGACAGAAAATCGACGTAACCGCAGAACTTAATCCAAGTGAACCTTGCGCAAACGCTAATAATGCCCGTGCTAATAGTGCCCGTGTAGTGACGAAGGATATGGTTTATTCTGTAATAACGCGACCGATATTCAAAAATATTCCGTTTCTCTTATGGAAATTTGCAAACCTTGTTGACTCAAGGAAATGCATGAATTAATGAGATCAAATCAAACACACGAATATGCTATTCTTAATTTACGTTTCCTTTCCGCATGTTTATAATACATAATTTCTAAGGACGTGATAAGTTCCTACTATTTTTGAACAAATATATCGCAATAGAAGCCATGTATGTATCATTTGCAATGCTTGACTTGGAAGATTGGAAAAAAAATTTATAATTTTTCATAACTTCAATGTAAGTTGAACGTACAGTTGAAACATCCAAAAGAAACTGAAATTAAATCAGCATTATGAGTTAACAAAAATTGTGCGAAGATGATTTCGTAATGCAGTAGTTTTGGAAGAATAAAATTTCTAAATAATATTTGTGTAAAAACGGACAAATCAGATTTTAAATATAAATATTTTATAATTATTTCTGAAAACGTTTAATTCTTTACTTAAAATTTTATGATTCTATATATTAATATTTTATTTAAAAGATCAATATTTCTAAATTTTATACACAACTTTATCGCATACTTTCATAAACATTTTCCTATTGGAAAGACTGTGGACATCCATTTATCTCCATCGAGACTTCAACTTCCTAAATCCCGAATATCTCTCTTTTGGATGAATAGATCCTGTTCGAATAGCTCGGACAAAACAATTAAAAAGAAATTCTCGCTCTCGTACACGACAAATGCTCTACGTGTGTGTGTGTGTGTGTGTGTGTGTGTGTGTGTGTATGTGTGTGTGTGTGCGCGCGCGTGTGCGTGTGCGTGCGTGCGTGCGTGCGTGCGTGTGTGTGTGTGTGTGTGTGTGTGTGTGTGTGTGTGTGTGTGTGTGTATAAATCGTATCTCAGGCCTGTACTCATAGTCAGATCTTATTCAAGACCATCTTAAATATAGTCTTAAGAAATCAATCAGAAGTTAGTATTCATAATTCGGTTCTTATTTCAAGACCATCTTAAGTAATGTCTTAAGACTAAGGAGCTCCGCACAATAAAAGGAACAGGAAATAGAGAATAAAAAATAAGAATTTCAACTTATCAGAAATGTATTATGGAATACACAGTTTCTGATAGGTTGAAATTCTTATTCTCTGTTCCCAGTTCCTTTTATTGTGCGGAGCTCCTAATACAGCTCTCTGATTGATTCGTGACACTTTAAGACAGAACTCAGACGATCTTGAATAAGGAATTGATTATGAATATCGGCCAGAGGACCGTATTAACGTCTTAAGACATTATTTAAGACAGTTTTGAAATAATAACGGATTATAAATACCGTCCCTAATATCTTAGAAAGCGTACAGTATATTCCACGCGTACCAGGGTTCATAGGGGAGGACGAGAGAAGTCAGGCTTCACGAATTCTAATCCAAGCACAGCCGTTCCCCAGCGATCCTCGCGATCCTATGGCGAGACTCACCCGAGTGATTGGTAATCTTGAGAGGGTCCTTAGGGACGACGGGAGAGTCACCATCGCTGCTCTCACCGTCGCTCTCGTTGGCGCAGACGTCGGATCTGGGCGACGCGCCTTCCTCCTGAAACCAAGAAAGAGAAGAGCGATATTATCGAGTATCCGTCTCGAATGCGATTCGTCGTCAGCGATGCAAGGCGAGGGTGGGATCGGAGCGATTGGATAACGCGGGGGTACACATTCTCTCGCAAAGAGGATCATTCTCAGTCTGAACGACAACAGCGACGCAAGCAGAGAAACGTAGATACACTACCGAATGATACATAAGTACGTACATACAATAAACGTGTGTACCTATCTACCTACCTACCTACCTACCTACCTACCTACCAACCTACCTACCTATCTACCTACCTACCTACCTACCTAGCGGAGAGAGAGATGCGCGAGCATCTTGTTCGCGCTCCTTATATGGCCATCTCTCGCGGACTCTACTCGCGCGAGTGCGCGCGATGCGCCCGCGGAAAAGAGGTATCCTCTTCGCGGATTCGCTCGCAACGGGGATTCTCCCTCGAAGAGCTTCTTGCGCGAGACTTTTCCGCCCCGGCGCGTTTTCGCAGAGTTTGCTCACGCGGCATCGACAACCGGAAGAGTGTAATACGTGTACAGACCGGATAGCATAAATCTTGGTATAACGCATAATACATAAGAGAATCAACCAATTATAGTCTTTTGGGCTTTCTATAATAAATCATTACATAAGCTTTGAGTCTTAAGCCGTAAGAAGTTGACCAGTCAATAATTTTTTTCACATTCTACTGTAATTGTAGAAAGCCCATAAGAAAATCAACCAATCAGAATTTTTCATTTAATGGAAAGGGAAGACTCTGATTGATCAATTCTCTTATATTGTATGCATTATGCGTTATGCGAAGTTGTGCTCCAGCTTTATCTCATGTTTCTTATTGCATCGAGTAATATATTATACTAAGATTTCGGACTTCCATTTGTTTCATCTGCCGGTTAAACGTTGACTACTATAATTTATTTATTTTTGTCGTGAAAACTGATATTATTATAATTATAATTGATGTAAATATGAAAGAAATCCTAACGACATACTTTATTACTTACATTACAGTTCTACTATATTATGTTGAGTAATATGTATAATAAATTTATTACAACCGACCGATTCTTCTTTTACAGCAAAGGTCAAAAGAATCTCTTCATCATAAAAAATTCAAAATCTTTAGACTCTTCATTTCCAGTAACATTTTCAATCACATACATCGTTAAATATATACAGAATTACCAAATTAAGAAATACCAAATTTAATTTTCCCAGTTATATTATTGTAAACTCTATTGTTAAAGATCTCACGGCTCGAGTCGAGAAGAAGAACACGTTTTTCGTCTTGCAATTTGCTCCGATCACCTATCCAGCGTTGTTGGCTGGAATGCGTGTGCGAATCTCTCGTCGAATCGTCCATACGCGGGAAGTCGAGAAAGTGCGGTACCAATTGGAAAGCTCGAAAAGTCGCGGCGACGAGTGCACGGCCGCGTTCTCTCGCTTCCGTCTACGCGCCGTGTGTTTCTCACACCGCTTTTCCTACCCCGCCATTTACCGCGGAACAGGCAGAAGGGTGCGCGTGTATGTGTAGAGAAGGCGCGACAAAAAGCAACATTCCTGACTCTTAACTCGGGCTCTATATAAGTGTCTGCCATCGCGAACATTGCCTGTATATGGCGACAACCGGGCTTTGACAAAGGTGACCGTATATGGAACTCCGCTTCCACCTTTCGTGCGTGCGTACGTGCGTGAGTGCGCGGTCTCTCGTTCCTTCTCTCTCTTTCTCTCTTTCTCTTTTTCAGTTTCTCCCTCACAGAAGCATCTCGCGAGGCCCGTTCTATTCCTCTCTCTTTCTCTCCCTCCCTCGCGTTTCCTCCCCCCCCCCTCTCTCTCTCTCTCTCTTCTGCGAGACGATACACCTGGACGCGCGTCTTCTTCGTCTGCAACCCTGGCGAAAGAACAATCGAACGAACAAACGAATGAGACGGCATTCATGAGACGACATCGTTACGCCCATTAAATCATAAACCGTGCTTTGACCTCACAGTTGCCCTCGGGATACCGAAAGCTCCATACGCATTTCCGGTACCAGAAATACGCGAGCGCCATCTGCGAGTAAGATACCCTGAGAAGGCACCCTCCTAGTCGAAGAAATGAACGAAGGAATGAACGAAGAATCAATAACCAGAAAAAAATCCGACAATTTTTGACAACTTGTAGATCAATACTTGTAGCTACCTTTTTCTCTTTGAAAAACAAAATGAAAAACGATCTCATGACGGACAGAATGGCATTCAATCGAAGAAAGAGGATCTCTCCATAAACTGCATGTTGTCGTACGCCATCTTGACTTACGTTTCTTATCCTTTAACTTTTACTTCCGCTTCCTTTAACTGGGCATCAGGTATTATTCACAACTTTACTCTCGAAAATTACACAAACATAAAAAAAGAAATAGATATAGTCTACAAGCTACGCGCTTAATATAAACTTATGTCTCGCATTTGTAAGTTTGGATAAAGCATTTGGTATGTCGACTGACATAAAATAAAATCATGGACACATTCAACGCATCGTTTTGTATTTTGGGATACAATATTCGTAATCTGCATTAATTATTACTTACTATTAACGCTGTCTAATGTACTAACAAAACATCATGCGATAAATATTACCTGCATCCATATCGCACGTAAGAGATGCAACGTTTCTGCTATTCGCTGTATTGCGATGGCTTTTTTTTTAATGTTTTTTAATGATCTCGATCTTTACGAAGATGCTTCTTAATGTTTGACTTCAATCGAGACGCGATATCATCGAAATCATATTAAACTACTTATCGACATTCTTCGTGCACATATATTATTAACTAATTGGTAAAAAAGATACATTAAGCAATAGCCAGATGCCTCTATTAGAAATATACCGAATGCGTATTATTTTGATTGAAACGCAACCTACCTTCCGCTTCCATCCTCGCGCGCGCATTTGTCTCATCTCCGTGCATTGAATGACGTTGTTATTTTCCAGATTACTGCCATGCAATAATAATATTGGATTCTCGATATAACATACATGATAGTCCTAACGCACCGTTAGAAATAAAGGAATCCCTAACATACTGCGGAATGTTTCTGGACCTCTAAATATATCCCGAACCAGATTGTCAAAAATAGGCATATGTCGGGCCCGTGGCCGAAACACGAAATATAAGATTGTAACATCTCCGTTACTATTCAGAATCTTTTATGAGAGATTCAACGAAGTATTTCGCAAGAAGTTTACGCGAATGTACCTGGAATTATTTCAGAAGTTAAAATAATTCTCAAAGAATTATCAATAATAACCGAAAGAGTTTCACATATAATTATAGAAAAAAATTCTCGTATGTATCGTGAAAATATTCTATTTTACTTCTCCATACTTTAGAGCGATTCTTACCTCTGAAATTTTTCCGTTATTTACTTAAAAATTTAAAAGCTTATCTCGCATAAGTCAACGGAATATTTTCAATTAAAAATTAATATGAATTCGCAGAAGAAACTATAAATTTTGTAAAATACCTACCTGGCCCGTGAAAGTAAACATGACATCGGTAAGATTATGCACAATGAGAATCTATCAGCAGAAAATCAAGTCACTTGATCGCAGGGACTATATTGTCAAAGATGATGAAGAAATTTGTGTGTGTGTGTGTGTGTGTGTGTGTGTGTGTGTGTGTGTGTGTGTGTGTGTGTTTTCATAGGCGTAAAAATATATAAATATTATCACAGTATTTTTTACAATTACTATGCTATGTACAAAAATGGTAAAATACAAACTAATCATGTGAAAGAGCCGCATTATTCGCAGATTATCGTTAAAATCATAATCGATTATTATTATTTGTACTCTCTGCATGTCGAGACGCGCGGTAGATTACAGTTTCTATATATCTATTTGATTGGGGCCTAAAAGACCCTCGCTTCCCGGCCTTGTTCCTCTTTTTACCTTTGCCTTCTCCTCGATTCTCTTTCCCACGATATATAATACAGAATATCAGCAAATAATACATACATACATACGCATGCACAATGTCGATGAATGAGGGAGATTGATACGAGATATACAGGAGAGATTGTGGGGAGAGGGGGGTGGATTAAATTAAAAGGTAATCTAAATACTAGCTACTTATTCTGCGAGAAAAGACAATCCAAATAACTACACATGCCAGTTGCGATACACAACACATTACACGGCAAACAATAAAAAAAAAAAGAAACAATGGACGAGACACAACAATGCTCAATAAAAAAAGAAATGCGTTACAGTATTAAGCGTGCACCGCCGAATTCGCACTCACACCACCGATTCGATGAATCAAATCATTGTCGCATGATTTTTCGAATAGTGATTTTTCTCTCCTCGATAAGATCAATAAAGATAAATAAGTACTTCAAATATCCCTCGCGAAGAGAGACAAAAAGAGTATTTTCTACAACGCATGTAAAGTACACGATATAAAAAAGAATATCAACACCGACGCTGCGAACAACACCGGCTTACAATAACGATATTTTCTTTTAATAAATAAAAAATGTCGACTTCCTCAATAAATAATACGATATTTAAGTTAAATAAAAAAAGTAAACAAAAAAACGAAAAAGACAAAGAAAACAGAGAGCTGTTGGACGAACGAGTACTAGATGGAGTACTCAAAATTCTGTCATTTGTTATTTTCACCGAGTAATTGATCACACGATGTGTTACGCTATATATTTATAATCTATAAAATAATTAATTAATTAATCCATTAATTATATATAATAACGATATTTTTCCTCGCAATGTCTCTTTCTATCGCACGGTGACTCTCGTTGATGCAAATACTATCGTATTTCGTCTAATATGCCGAGCTTTGGACTTCGCCTACCACGAAAATCTAACCATATATTGAACGACACTCTTCTTCATCTTATCGACAATCCGCTCAATCTGATTTCCGAGATCATCGATCACGATCCGTCTGTAATTTGTTTCTAAAACCGCTGACAGCGGATTTGCATTCTTTCGTTATGTAATCGTTGCAAAATAGAAATCATTCTATTTTTCACATTTCAATTATACAGCACGCTTCCGTTGTTCCACTCTTTCGCGCGCGAGATCGCAAAATTCAAAGCACGCAATATTTAATCGAGATTCACCAATATATACATATACACAATCTCTCTCAAAAGTTTTCGAACTTTATTTAAAATTCAATTACTTGTGTGACTTTTCTAATTTTATTTATTAATTATTCAAAATATATTCCATCTGAAGTAATAGAGTCTTTATATAGCAATTGTACAATTTTTTAAATTGTACACTTTTTCAAAATGAAAAAAAATAACCTGATTCAAAACCATTTGTATTTCCCAATTTTAAAAATTGTATTAGAGTATCTCTTCATTTTCAACTTTGGAAAAAGAATGAAAACGAATACAGTAAACGATCAAACGCATCTTTTATGAACACTGTTCAATATTTTGTTCAATCATTTTTCTTGACGAATTTAAAAAATTTTTATTTTTAAGGACATAATAAATGAATTATATAACGCAAAAGAACGTAACTTTATAGAGTTAGAGAAATTAAGTTTCATAGAAATCATTTCACACTATTTCAATAAATAATAAAACCTTAGATAACATATAGAAAAAAAAGTTCGGTAACTTTTTAGATAGACCACGTATATATAAGAAGGCGATATACATATATTTACATACATATATGTATGTAATACGCGTGGATATATATTTAAGTATATACATTTGAGTAAAAAAACGTGTCGAAAGATTGGACTAGATTTGCGCGCGCGGAAATTGATCGTGTAGTCACACTGAAAAAAAATATTAAATTAAAAAGAATATTTATTGTTTGAATAGTTCTAAGTAAATATTTACTAAATAAATATATATTTATTGGATATATAAATATATATTCATTTGATACAAAAACCATTTGATTTAACTATCATTTTTTTATTTTAAGTAATATTTATTTACTAAAAGTAAATGTTTAGTTAGTACTATTCAAAGAAATATATCTTCAGATTTAGTAAATTTTTTTTCAGTATATATAAGACCAAACGTTGAAGAATACTTGATCGCAAGGGAAGCCTACAATCTTTTGCGCGCCCATCGTATATAATTTAATAAATATCATACGTGACTCTACGGCACGCTCGCCGGCGCGATACAAGTAATACATCTAAAGGGAAATTACGTCAGTGTTATATGCCCAAAGAAAAATTATTTCAGTATATCTACAAGCCGCGCGCGACCTCGCGTTGGCGTACGTTAAAATAGTTGTACACCGTACTTCTCAGGAAAGTAAAGTTAATTGTGAAAAATGACCCAAACGCGCACCAAAAATTTGCAGGGTGTTGAAGCATATTTTAAAAATACGAAAAATGTTACGCGCGGACATCTAAATGATGATTTGTCTCATTTTGTAACAATCTGGACTCTAGATTCGCCAATTAGACCGCTGTTAATTAAAGATTTTTTTAACTCCGCGCTCAAAATGAAATATAATTCGACCAACACGCACCGCACAATGTTTCACGGACGTCACGATACCTAACCGTAATTTAATTTCATACGTAACATAAATTTTCTTGTGAATAACAATAACTGTTACTGCTCGCGTTGCTCTATCAAACCGAATCCACGAGCATCAACACGAGATAAATCTCTCTCTTCCGAATATGTAGTATACATGAAGACTCACAGCAATTTGACGCATTTCAGCGATGCTGATGATACTGAACGCTTCGCGACGCGATACAAATTGCTTAAAGCAATTTAGATGATCCTAAAAGGTGAAATGCGGCGGGAAGGGAGGATGGAGCGCGAAGGGCCGACGAGCGGCGAGCGCGTACTACCGTTGGGGGTGCGAGTGCGACATATGGGGATGGTAGGCGGCGTGATGGGGCGGCAGAGGCGAGGGGCATGATTGCTGGTATGGGCCTCCGGCGAGCATCGGGCCCGGGCTCGAGCACGGCACGAGGTGCGAGCTCGGGGAAGCGGCGGCGGCTGCCGCCGCGTGTGCATG